GGAAATTTTTATAACTGAAGCTGACTACTAATTAACCAGGTCACGTGATGGAGAGGGTTATCTTGATTGGTTGACTTCTAATTATTAAGGGGCACTATAAAGGGTCATATGCATAACATTAGCATGTTCACCGCATCCGTTCTTAAATAATCAGTTCTCAAATAAATGTAACAAATAGATATCTGGAGTAGTCTGGGCTTGTATATAAAGCTGAAGTAGTATAATGAGTAAGTAATTCTACAATAAGGGAATTACAGAGAAAACAGGGAGGTGTTCAGGACATACAAAATCAATAAACACAATTATATGAAATCATATAATTCATAAATAACTGATTCTGACATTTCCGCGGTCTTGAGTAATTGTACTTCACGTCATAAAACAAATGACATCATCATTGATTGTTTTGACTTGAAAAGTCAGTTCCAATACAGATAGAAAGAGAAGCAGTCGTGTTATGTTTTCTGTCAAGTTACTTCCTGTTGTATAGATGGACAAACCCGCTTTACTCATTATATTGGAGCCGTGACCAGGATAGTGTGAATATTGTTACAATTTTGTGTGAATATTGTTACAATTTCTGTATTGCTTGATAAAGTGTTAATTGCTCATCAATACAGAAGAGGTCATACAAGGTCAAATGGTAGTCCCACTGGTCCATCAGTACAGAAGAGGTCATACAAGGTCAAACGTAATCCAACTAGTCCATCAGTACAGAAGAGGTCATACAAGGTCAAACGGTAGTCCCACTGGTCCATCAGTACAGAAGAGGTCATACAAGGTCAAAACCATCAAATAAATATGGCCTTATACATTATAGGGCCAAATGATGGCCGTAATGGCTGACACACAGTAGTCTTAACTTCCCATCGAAAAATAGTCTTGACAGATGATCAATACAATAAATTGAATGATATTGTTTTAGACATTTTTACTTTGGGAAAATCCAAGAGCGTAATCAAGGATAATCCTCTTGTGCCCCTTACTTTGAGGGAACCAAAGAGAATAATTGAGCGATTTCCTCTTGTACTGTTCAGAACTTAAGTGAAATCAAAGAGTGTCATATAATTTTGTATTCGCCTCAAGATCTTGTGCCCCTCACTAACGGGAAACAGAATGGAATCATTGGGGATTCCCTATGCCTCTTCCATAGAGGAAAAGGAAAGGAGAAAAAATGTATCTGTTGTATCTATATTCATTATGACAACACTGTGAATTTTGTTGTTTTTTTCCTTTTCTTTAATTTTTTGTTTTTTATTCTTCAACTTTATATGCCTCTCTTGGCTCACTGTAACTACTGTGAGGCCCTATAAACTTATTGCGCTGACACCAGACCATAACTTTATATTCTCTCTTTAATATATGTCACGGTTTTATCTTATATATCTGTCATGTTGTAGTTTACGTTACTTTCACATTTTCACTAATAGGTGATCATGTATGTTGCATGTTTTTTGGTGGTACATTACTCGTGCTTTGACGAAAGTAACTGTCATATTTTTACTCAATACACACGATTTTACGTATAATGTGATTGAAGTATTTTACAGTATTTTTGTCCTGTTTTTCACCGATATAAATATCATTTTTGCTTTGTATCAATGATATTTTTACAGAAGTATATGTCATATGTTAGTGACCTATTTATATGTTGTATTTTTACAGACATATATGTTGCATTTTTACTGATGTATGTCCCGTTTTAGTGATGTATATATGCCATATTTTTACAGACATATATATGTTGTATTTTTACTGGCGTATATGTCCTATTTTAGTGATGTATATATGTTGTATTTTTACTGACGTATATGTCATACTATTACTGGTGTAGTTTCCAGCATGTTCTCTTATAATTACTTACGTATCTGTCCAATTTCCACCTGAAACGCCACTCATGTATGGAATCATCCGAAGTAACAAATAGAGCCTTGAGAGGCTGAGTAAGGAACACTTTCTCAAAGAACACCTGTAATAGTGTGATAGAAAGAAATTCTTAGAAAAGTTAGCAAACAAAATAATTTCCTCATTCCTCTTATATAAATTACTGAACAGATTTGGAGTAATTTGTTTTAGATATATCTAGAAAAAAAGAGAAACTGAAGACAAATCATAATGTCTTCATGAAAATATCATTTATTTACCTCCATTTTCCAAAATAACAATTTTGAATAATTTCAAACAATACCTTCGGATATTTATAAGTGTTCTTTATACACTGGAGAAATGACATTATTAATAAGAGGTAGTTGCTATTTTTAGAAAAACAAATAAAAATATATATACTTACCTCTGAGAAATAGAAGAGAGTTATAACTGTAGCAAGGATAATAAACTTTAGGATCAGATACAAGTAGTGTACACTTCTTGCTGGAAAAAAGAAAAGAAAAGAGAAATATTAACATTTATAACCACCAGTTATCTCCCCTAGTCATAAAACAAAGACCCTGATAAATCACAAAATTTGATAAAATATAAGATATCCCCTTAAACAATCCTCAGACATGATATTTTGTTTGTTAATTTGTTGTAAAGGAAATAGCCTAAATAGTAGGACTGATCAAGACTAACCACAATTGGATCAAAAGAAATGACGAAGATAATTTGTATTTAGTTTAATATAAAAACATGAATACTGATTTCCAAAAAACAGAAAGAAACACATACTGTAAGAAGTAGACCAGTTGTAATTCGTTCAAAGTTAAATATTTATACAGTGATTGAAATTTGAAAGTTGGGGCTGCAGACATTTAATACAATGACGATTTCTTTTTGACTTTTTGCTCTTATTATGGAAGAGCATGATTGATAAATTATTATGAGACACAAACTAGTTAACACTGAAAGATGTACCTACCATCTGCTGAGGAAGCCGTGACTTGTGGAAAGATCGCCATGGTGAGGTACACGATGATGAACCAGAAGGACACCAGAGGAATGAAATAGTAGAACTGGTACGGACGATTCATCACAAAACAAAGGGAGACAACCAAAAAGTTTAGTCTGAACAAAACCTGCAAAACATAAAAACAGGTCACTGCTATTAAAGACTGATGATAGAATTACAACTAGTGACATATTTTGTAGCTTGATACAGGCCCAAGGTGCCCTGCAGTTCCTTCTCTAGCTGTTGTCAAGCATACATACACTAGGATTTGTTAGAAACTAAATCTTTGTTTTACACATATAGACTAAGGATCTCAAACTGATTTTCCATACAAAGCACATACCATGGTAAGTTTCTAATGAATCAAAAAATAAAAAAGTTTTATAGCAATCATATGGGATAGTGAAGTGATTGAGATCCTTTTCATCACATGTATGACCGAACTTTGGTAAAGAAAACAAAAAGCATAAATATATTGTTGTGAGTTCAAGACCCTGCTATGTATACATTGTTTAATGGATATATTATCACACATGTTACAACTAAACCAAAACTCACAATATTTTCAGCATTGCTTATATCCTTACCACGTTAAACATAGCTTCATATCATCTATCTGGTCTATGATATATCAAATCATCTATTCTATTTTTCTTCTAACCCAATTCTTTCAAACTGTTGAGAGATAAACTTTCATCTAAATCGTGATAGACTTATAATAATTGGATTGTCTATTGTGCCTGCATCACATTGCATGGAAAATATGTGGCTCATACAATTTACAGGCATTGACTTTTGTGGAGGTGTATATGATGTGAAATGAACCTGAAAGAATGATATTGACCAAGGTGACCTCAACTTACAATTAACTTACAATTAATAACGGTACTTCATTTAAAAACTAATTCTAAAGTAAAGCTTTCATTTTACAAACAACCAAAATTTCTATTATTAACTGTTATAAGGCTGTTTTATGATCCCTGTGCCAATGGTCAAGACCTTCAATGTTTCAGATTATATAGTCCTAGCAGGCTAGACACACTACTTCTGGTGAAATAACTGTGAGAAACAGGGGTTGTGAGAGGGACTTGTAAGTGCAAGAAAATTAAACTGCTTATAAATGTCTCCCCTTCTTCAAATAGAACATGTTTGGTTTTATTTTGTTCAACGTCCTATTAACAGCTAGGACCATTTAAGGACGTGCCTCCGTGTGTGTTGTGTGTGCATGCATGTGTGCTGGAGACAGGGTATGTTGGTGTAACTGCCTCCTGGTGATAGCGCGGATCATGGGCAAACCATGACCAGTTGTTGCGATTGCCCTAAATGCTGTACGTTAAGCAGGGAGTTATAAATACCATTTGTTAAGGACCTAAGTACAATGTCCCAGACAGGGCACAGAACCGATTGCATAATTACTCACCTGGGCAAACGCTCAACATTAAAGACAAAAGTGAGGTATTGCCAATCAAGGCACTAAAGGAAATAAAAGGTAGTTAGAAGAAGAGGGAAACAACTTCTCAGTCGGACATGTTAATGAATACTTCCTTTTATTTTTTATCCCAAATAAGAGCATACACAACAACAGATTAAGAGTATCATGCAGAAGCCATTTCTGAGAAATAGTGAAAACAGTAATTATTCCTTGACCGATTATGGCTAATTAACTAACTGTGTGAAAGACGGATGGCAGACCACAGACAAAGAACGATTTGAAAAGCCCATTATCTTATGATAGTGTACTAATAATGTTGAAAACTTGCATGTTTCTTTAAACTTGATCAGGTGGAATGGAGAGAACAGAGTGGCTTTAGGGGAAAAAAGGAATGTTTATCTAAAGTGAAGGAACTGACATGACTGAAGCAGAACTTTCTTGAAAATATGCTGAAATATTTCATGCATAATGTCAATTTGGTAAATATCTATCTCATATTTACAGATGGCTGGATTGCCAACTCGGTCTAGCATTGTCATTTGAAAACTTACCTAAGAGCTGTACATCTACATAGCCTAAACGTATATATACATTATTAACCCGTAACCTTGATCAGATCATTCTGTTGGCCGATTCACACTTCAGTTATATAGTCAAACTCTCCAGTCAAACTTATGGCAAAGTCTGCATTTTTTCCTTATATTCATGAATCAAACGTTTATGAGTCAAATTTCTTGCTGTGTCAAAATATTAGCATATGCTAGCTTGTTATGAAAATACTGAAAGTAACAATAAATAAATCAGAAGTTAAAACATTTACCTGAAAAAACAAGTACATCAAACATCCTATATGGTCATTCAAGCGAAAAAAATGACAAAGAGATATTGAACTTGAGAAGATAATTAAGATACCAATGCAAAATGCATCATCTGAATAAATTAAAGATGCCATTCTTGTTATTGTGAATCCAACATTTATAGATTTAAAATATAATAAATAAATTACAAAGTCTGTGTTCCGTCACTTATGAATCACATTCGGTCTTATATATTCTATATTAACGGTTCTATAGTCTTGAGTTAGAGTCCGGATGTTTCAAATTTTCCTAAATGTTCCCGCAAAATTGGAAATTTAATGTATATATATACACAACTTTGAAATCCCTTGACTCAGAGATGATCCATCCTAAATCAAGTTAAAATTCCTCCACCTGTATTTTAGGAGTAGTTTTTATATCATAATCCTTTATTTCCTATTTCAACCTGCACTGTTTACTGCCAGTGGTGCAGCATCCTTCAATAATTACACATCACCAATTTTTTTTGGCCCAGGGATCATCTGACTGATTGGTGGTCGAGTGGCGTAGTTGATAACGCGCTCAGACCAAGGCAGCTGGGGTTAGATTCCCCAATCGGACGTGAAAAGGTATGGGATCACCTGCCTTATCATGTAGGTTTTCTCTTGGTATTGGGTACTCTGGTTTCCTCCCAAATAAAGACCCCGGCCCCCCAATAACATCGAGGCCAACAAGAGTGATTAATATAAGTTGAAATAACTTGTTTCATAACTGTTGTAAAATAAAGGTTATTTATGGGTTTTTTTACTATTAGTCTTTTTTATTTATACTTTCTATAAACTGGTGAAAAGGTCTGTTGTCTGTCGAACGAAGGCATCAATGAACTTACTGATAACAGCAATAAAATCTGTAAACAATTCTGTTTTCGATGGTTTTCGCTTTGTGTTTCAACTCCACTGCGAAAAGCAACTCCCAGTATCAGAATATAATTGTAAGGATGGTTGATGATGTGTCTCAATGGTTGAATATGTTACTATTTCTATTGGGATAGACAACGCCAGAATTTTCAGAGTGTATAAAACAATTAAAGCCATTTTACACCAACTGATTATACAAAGTACTACTGCTACTATCTTATTTTCTATTACGATCTATTCTAATTTTTAGGCAAAAACAAGGCTAGGGGTCTGCAAAAACACACACAAAACAATTTCTAAAACGCTATAAAATGTCTAGGATCAGTACCTATGATATATAGCGGTTATTGGTTAAGTGCTAGGCAACTTAAACTTGTTTAGGTCTGTTTCTACACAGAAAGGAAAGATAACCTAGGTCACGCCCTTCCTCCCTATTATAAATACACCCTAGATAGGAGACTATGCAAAACAACAAATATTTTTAATCCTTTTGATTAGAACAAGAAACAAGATAACAAAAAAATCATACTGATATTACTGGACATTTTTTTTAGCAAATCAACATTTAATTATTACAACACACCGAAATTTTAGTAGAACATTGATTACCCGCTAATCTGAATACTGATTCTCCTGATTATCAATTACTTGAACCATGGTTGAGTCTCCTAATTAATATCTTAATTAATCTAACACTGTCTGACCAATCATTAACTTATCAGAACCATTAAGGCATTTTACTTTCCTTGGTCCTGATAATTGGCTATCCACTGTTTTGTTACTTTATTCATATTTCAAACTCAGCATTATCTCTACTGATGCAACTTTTTAAACAAGAGGCCCACAAAGTGGGCCTGCATCGTTCACCTTCTATTAATCTCATACTTTTAGCCTTAAAAGTGTACCAATGTCTAATATATTTAAATATCTTTACCTATGACTTTTGGTTTTTTTTGTTACCAGATTTGACACATTTGACTTTGAAAGTCTTACAAGGTCATTAGTTTAACAAACTTGGTACTTGTAGCGTTTTATCCGAGTATGCCACAAGCCAAATGACATCACCTGAGGCTCTTGGCTATTCAGAAGTTATCATTAATGTTTTAGCACATTTCCTGTGACCTTTAATGTAGGTGAAGGTCTTTCATTTGAACAAAGTTGATACTGCGTCATCCGAGTATGCTACTGGCCAAATATCATCACTATAAGCCTTTTGGTTATTCAGAAAAAGTTGTTTAAATATTTCAACACATTTGATCTTTATGACTTTAATACGAGTGAAGGTCATTCATTTGAACAAACTTGATTATCCTTCCTGCTAACGTGCTACTGTTTGAAGGAAAAGCTGATGGATGATGGACGGTGGCAATTTAATCATAATGCAGAATGTCTTAAACCAATTCACCCCTAAAGTCACATTTGAACCTTACCAAATCACAGACTGGGCAAGTCCAGTTTATATATGTAGGGGTGAATGAGTTAATAGATGGAGATGAACTATTTATGCAGTGGACTCCCATAGCCAAGCTACTTTCATTAACTACGAACAATAACCCTATAAAATTATCATAAAAATATCACAAATAATTAACTTTACTGCCGGAAGATTATGAGGCCCCTTAACTTGTACACAACACTTAGGGTATGGCATGCTACATCTAACCTTCAGTCAGAGTGTCTACATATATACAGGTGAATTACATTACATAGACTACCACTGATAGCATGTTGATACACAACTGTAATGCACTTTAAATATCAACGAATTGAGTCAAAGAGCAAGGAATAACGATTATCAAACTCTTTTTAAAGGTACTACATAATGTACAAGAGGCCCAATGGGCCTGCATCACTTAACTGGTATGTATCTCACATTAATAATTGTAACCTTAAAATAAAGCTACAGGCAGCGTCTCGACATTAAGTCATTCAAAAGAACCTGTTAAAAGATTTAAACACATTTGACCCCTGTGACCTTGAAAGTCAAACATTAAGTTGAACAAACTTATAGCCCTTCATCCCAGAAAACATGGAATCTGTAATTTTATTGTCTTAGGCAGCCACGGGTGGGCTTGAAAGTAATTTAGTCAATTACGATACTTGAAAACAGCAGCTGGAAATAAATCTCCTGAACCTTGAACTGCTGCTGAACCCTTGTTGGGATCTAGCGAGGAGATAGGCTTGAATTCATAATCATACTAATGAAAACTCCATATTATCTTCACACATTTTTTTCCAACTAAAATTGATCATGAATTCTGTAGTCATTATCAAAGTTTTACTTTATACGTATACAATGTACTTTTTAAACGTGTTGCAGCATTTCTCAAGATCGTCTGATCCCTTTGTCAAGTTGTGACACCCTACCAGCAACAGCGTGTATGCATTCTCTATCGATAAGCGGAACGTATTGGGTAGGGTGACATATGAAACTAACATTTTCGTCACACCGTTGTAGAGGCAAACAATTAATACAAATCGCTCACTCTGTCAAAGCTTGACAAAGGGACCAGACTGTCTTGAAATATTACGATAAGTTTAACACACTGTTTGTGCATACATCGAAACTTTGATAATAACTGTTTTCAAACTGATGAATTTTGTTAAAGAAATTCTCTAGTTGGCCTAACTAACCAACAGTCAACAAAGTTGATGAATCGGAAAATAACTAAATATTTGTACTATCAATCAGGCCGGTCAGGCCGTGAAGCAACTAGCCTAGACATGAAAATCACTAGCTCTGGCAATTAACTCATTCACCCCTGAAGATGCATTTGAACTCTTCCAATTCAAGGGTTGAAATAGTTCATTTTAAAATTTCAGGGGTGAATGAGTTAAATAGCGAAATCAAATGCATCAATACCACCCTGAATGGTACTAACATCAAATATTGGTTTTACTGTTAGACTAAACACAATGAAGACACATGCAATGTTAGTTCCATTTAAACAATGTTTTATTTGTCAAACAACAAAAACAGGATCAGGCACAAGTTGTCATAACTTAGAAGCTGTATGGCTATATATAGATTAAGTGCAAGGCGTTGGGATGGCAACAGGTTACATGTGGAAGACTTACGACAAGGGATTTATGCCAATTAGAATGTCTAGGGTGTGGTATACAGCATTTACAAGTTCCTGACAACTGAAATAAGAGTGGGTAGTCATGCATGGAGTTAAAATGAACCAAATCACAACTATCTATATGAACTAAACCAGTCGTATAAATCTATACAGTCAGTGACTTGTATCTGAGTTATCTCCCTTGATTTAAAACCCTAGCATTTTGTTATGGTTAAACAATATTCAGATCGGTATCACTGCATGTTTGTCTTTTGACATTAGAAATGTATCATTAAAGAATGAACCCAGACAAATTTACAGACATTGCTCATGTTTCTTATTGCAGAACTCTATAACAAAGAAGATAAAATTGTTACAGTTTAATAGTTATCTATAGCATACATATATATCCTTGAAAGGATTTCCTTCTTTTATAAGTGAAGCTAATTTTCATCCCTATTCCAAATTTCATTATTAATTTCTGCCAATTTTAGCATTAAGATTTTAAAAAACAAACACTTAATTTCAATGAACTCAATGGGAGGCCAAGGGATCATGAGCCAGAATATAAAGCAATTCTCAACAAGGTCTTAAACTCAACAAAATCTGTATCAGAATATGCTTTTCCTAGTATAGCCTTGTCCTGTAAATACCAAGCTAACCCAGTTTTAGTGACTAAAAGAGACTGCATGCCAAAATCTCCTCTGAAAGGACACCGGTTTATCACAGGAATACTTCCAAACATTTTTGGTACTTATTTGTACATCTGGGTGGATTGCATCACTCTGGATAATGTAGGTCACTGAAGCAGCAATGTTGTATTTTTTTTTAAAAAAACACAGGCTTCCATCACACCTTATTCATCTAAGTTGTTAGTTTAAACAGTGGTTTTCATTGATCAAAAATATTAATTGAATACACATGGTTGCAACATCTGTTTTGCTGTGCACTGATTAAATTGAAAGCTAAGTGTGTATTTAGCCTCTTACCTGGCAATAACGAAGGATGCTATACTGGCCCTTCTTCCAGAAAAACATGAAGTGGCCATACCCTGTCAGGAAGAGGTAGGACGATACCAAAACTCGTATGTGCATGTATATTGGGAGTACCTGTAATAAAACATAGTAATTTGTAAAAAAATACTTAATTGGTTGTCATTGGAACACCAAAAAATCAAAAAAAAAATCTGAATGTACACCACCTGTGGTCAAGTTTGATTTTTCGTATTTTTTTGTTTTATTCATCTTGTTAGAAGTATTTTGGTTTATGAGAAGATGTTGTATGATATTTGTTATAATACCTGTCATTGGCCGAATTTAGTCACATGACGTGCAATATGGCTAAAGTGTAATTGTCATTTATATTACTACTCTCCGCACGTTATTCTTATTTAAAAGGATGGCTTAATTAAAGAGTTCTTTCAATCAATTTTCAAATATCCAGCAAATTGTCTTCTATTAAATGGTTTATGCTTTCAGAATATTACTATCTTCAAAAATGTTTGGTGTGTTACATAGGGTAGAGAGAGTTATTGTTTGTTTCCTGAATTCCATGATTAAAATGTATGACACTATAATTCTTGCAATTATGCTCATGCTGAAATGACCAATGATATCTTGATTTGAATTTCTAGAATTTCAACAGCTACCAATGATACAATTCATATATCATAATTGTACAATGTTGCTTCTCATATTTTATGCACCAGTCTAACATAAGTGCGACCTACCTTTGAGACACCTGTTGTACAGTGTGACATACCTTTGAGACACCTGTTGTACAGTACAACATACCTTTGAGATACCTGTTGTACAGTATGACAAACATTTGAGACACCTGTTGTACAGTATGACAAACCTTTGAGGCACCTGTCGTACAGTATGACATACCTTTGACCTGTTGTACAGTATTACATACCTTTGAGACACCTGTTGTACAGTATGACATACCTTTGAGACACCAGTTGTTCAGTATGACATACCTTTGAGACACCAGTTGTTCAGTATGACATACCTTTGAGACACCAGTTGTTCAGTATGACATACCTTTGAGACACCAGTTGTTCAGTATGACATACCTTTGAGACACCTGGTGTACAGTATGACATACCTTTGAGACACCAGTTGTACAGTATGACATACCTTTGAGACACCAGTTGTACAGTATGACAAACATTTGAGACACCTGTTGTACAGTATTACATACCTTTGAGACACCTGTTGTACAGTACAACATACCTTTGAGATACCTGTTGTACATTATGACATACCTTTGAGACACCTGTTGTACAGTATGACATACCTTTGAGACATCTGTTGTACAGTATGACATATCTTTGAGACACCTGTTGTACAGCATGACATACCTTTGAAACACCTGTTGTACAGTATGACATACCTTTGAGACACCTGTTGTACAGTATGACATACCTTTGAGGCACCTGTTAAGTGGTATATTAATATAACCAGCTGCATCCATCCTTTCCACTCATCTGTCTGGTCTCTGTGTAATACTACTGTCTGGAAAAACAAAAACATCACTTTATGTACTTTTAATAAAGTATTTGAAATTATTGAATTAAAATCAAACAAACATCCAAAGATTTTTTTTTATTATCTATTGAATAACGCATTTTGTTTTATTAATTTTATTAATGGAGAAATCTCACTGTAATATTTTACACAAAGCAAGAAAGCTTATTTTTATATTATATTCTCAGTTTACATTCATCTGACATCATTTATATATTATAATTTAATATATAAATTGTCAAATGTTATATAGAAAGCGTAGAAGAAAGAAGGCTCTGAAGTCCAATAGTTGGAACATAATCACACAAAAACAACCCTTAAGAACTTACATTCATAATCCAAACTTCAATATTAACCTGGATAACAGGCTCTAGTTTTCAAACCTACCTGATCTGTACTTTCTGTGAAGAAGAATCCCAGAATCATTATGTAGGCGAAGGGTAAAATGAAGTTCACATGGGTGTAATACTTATTTTCCTTCATGAAGAAATTGGTTCTGTAAAAATACAAGAAAGTAAATTGATACTTCAAACATGGGATTGATGTCTGATACATATAAATTACATAGTTATGGAGGTAAACCCTACCAAGTTTGATAAATCATACCAAGTTTGATAAATCATACCAAGTTTGGTAAACCCTACCAAGTTTTAAAGAAAACATCAATAGAGATTTCTGGATAAGTTTGAAATGCTCAAAATAGATAAAGAGGAAGGACCCTTTTAGCTTAATACGGGATCATTATTTTTCGCACCAAAGACAGAGATATCCTAGTCATAATCCATGCTAGATTTCCTTTTCTCTTACCCTGGACAGGGATATCCAACATTTTACCGGTGTGAGATTTTCTTATCTCACCCTAGGGTTGAGACAAGCTACACATGTTCTTTGCACGTTCTCAACAATTGGATCGACGTCATAGCAACAATACAATGACGTCACGTCGACAATGCAGCTGCATCACATCAACATTGTCTTGCATTGATGTAACTTCTATATAAAATACATAAGCAGGTAAACAGGGTAAGAGAAAAATAATCATTCACCGCCTTGGGAGTAAGGCAGTGATCTCAACCCTCCGGGTACGATTCTTAAGCTGTCAAACACTCGGCAAGCCTCGTGTTTGACAACTTAAGAATCTTACCCCTCGGGTTGAGATTACCCTGTCTAGCCCCCAAGGGGGTGAAAGAATCAATTAATCTCGTTTGATCTGTCTGATACCTTTAATTGACATTTCGCAGAATTTTTACACAGAGACGTATATTGATATGCACGAAAATGTTGTTTTGTCGTTATATGTATTGTTTTGATGTAAATTTTATAGTAAGATGTAAGATGTTGTCGACAAAAATGTAACCTATGCTCTAAAATACATTGTCTTCTTTGCAAAGACGGTCTATATATTTAAGAGGAAGCATTCAAATGTAACTTTAGTAGTGTAGAGGTCCTATTTAGTTGAGGCCCCAGATGGCCATGGGATACTTATTGTTTTTAGCAAAATTGAATAGGTTTTTTCGAACTTAAAGGTGCCAGAAAAAAACTCTATAATACATGTGTCTAACCTGCAACAGAGCAAGATGAGTTTATCTGTCTTGGGTTATTTAAGATTCTGTAACATCCCAACCGAGGCGTTCTGTTACAGAATCTTAGCCCTCAACTGAGATATCCCAATCTCGGTCAGTTATAGGTAATGTATTTTATTAATCTGATACCAGGGATACTGCACAGTTGATTAATTCTGGATGGCTATTTTGATTTTTTCTTCTTCTTGTGTTAAAAGAACCCTGAAGGTTTGACATGAAATTGATTTGTCTCCAAATTTTGGCGGTAAACAGGTTAACATACTAAATCATGTTTTTTATTTGTCTGTATATATTCACAGGGGTTATAACTCATGGTACATTTACTAACATTTGTTGGGTAAATAAACTAGCACAAACTTTGATGCCTGCAAGGATAAGAAATACACCCCCCCCCCCCCCCCCCCATGAATAATACTTCTCGTTTTTTGGGAGGGGGTTTCATATCATATATAAAATGCATGAATACCTTTGCAATCTGTAGGAAGCCAAATAAACATGATAGCCATTGAGGAGTCTGTAAGACACAGATAGGCTGGGCAACACAGACAGGCTGAGTAACACATACAGGCTGAGTAACACAGACAGGCTGGGCAACACAGACAGGCTGAGCAACACAGACAGGCTGGGCAACACAGACAGGCTGAGCAACACAGACAGGCTGGGCAACACAGACAGGCTGAGCAACACAGACAGGCTGGGCAACACAGACAGGCTGAGCAACACAGACAGGCTGGGCAACACAGACAGGCTGAGCAACACAGACAGGCTGGGCAACACAGACAGGCTGAGCAACACAGACAGGCTGGGCAACACAGACAGGCTGAGCAACACAGACATGCTGGGCAACACAGACACGCTGGCCTACAGACACGCTGGGCTACCATGAGAGTTGATTTCCATGTTTATCTATGATGGTCTAAAACCATACATTCCAAAACTGTGGAAGCATGGGGAACACCATCAACTCTATCATATATTTCAGAAAATTATCCAGATATTTTGGCAAGCAAATCCTGCATCCATAGTGGAAAAGTCCTCAGGGCTATTCCATGATTTATTGTAGGGGGAGATTGGAGGCACCTGTATTAATGAATTATAGGTGGTGGGGTTCAAACCAGATCTGCCTTCCTTCCCTTATATTAATTAATTTTCAAGATTTTACTTGCAGTGGTGTAAGGAAAAGAGCCTCCCACCCCTCCCCTAAAGTAAATTATGGAACAGCCCTCAACAAAACTAGGGAAATTCAGGATAAGTTGATGAATTTGCATGAATTTGCATGTTAATTGTAATAATGAATATTATCAAATAGATTGTTTTATAACATAACCATGTCCAAGCTTCTTGCAAGCCCTGGTTTTAATAAATTTCATCGATAAATTACCAGAACAGACAACAATATATATATTATATAATATAAGATAGGCTGCATTCTTGACTTATATAAATGCTCTTGCCACACATATACACATTCTTTAACAACTTACTTTAAAATCATGACCTCCTTTATAAAACGGCCAGGCTGTGTTCACGACGTTTATGTTTGTCAAATATATTAACATGAACATGAAGCATGGCATTAACGTAAGTCTACTAATTAGTGGCGTCACGATTCACCGGGATGCACTTGTACCGCGATTATTTATGTTGTTTTCGATTCACAATATATTTTTCCGGATTTTTCGATGCGTCATGATCTGAATAATGGTGTATGCTGCTTCAGTCGAAATGTCTGTGAAACATTCAGTTTCATTGGCTGATCTCTAAACCCTCAACCAATTGGCTACGAGGATGCAATTTTCACAAAGCATTCATAACAAAATGGTGGACCGCCGTAAGGAAATGAAAAATTGTGATGCTCCGGCAAGCTTCAAATCAAAAGTGCGGGTTCCCGTGTATCGACGGCATGTATATCTTGAATTTTGTTTATATTTTAAAATAAAGTTGTATCGAATCGAAAAAATCACATTGTGGTACAAATATTGAGATACGTATCGAATTGTGGGTAAAGTGTATTGTGACAGTTCTACTACTAATGTCAGATTTAGGCTAGTACAGTACCTCAGAGCCCTTTAAGGTCTCAAATGCTGCATAAGGGCTTTTTATAGATGGCAAACTCCTCCACTACCATGTATGAATTTGATAAAGACACAGTGTTGTAAAACTAGTATACCTGTCACAAATATAGAAATAAGCCATGATGAGGCCGAATTTCGCAAGGGAGGTAAGTACGTCAAAACATGGCTGGAACGGCTCAATAGCACTGGAGTTTTGACCATTCCTCTGACCATTTTCTGTAAAAAAAAGTTCAAATATTTTTTTTTATATATTTATAACTTTTAAACATTGAGTTAATGTGAATTTCATAATAGTACCGGTACATGTTTTCCTTAAAACAAATTGTTATTGGAACTTCTACTCTTGTCTGTCTATCTTTCCGTCTGTCTGTCTTTCTGTCTGTCCATTTACCTGTCTTTATTTCCACTTTGCTTTGTTTTCTTGTTTCTCTTATCTGATTTTCCTTCCTTTCTAATATAACATTGCAAAAAATAATAATACCACTTATAAAAAGAGCAATATTAATTAGTATGAAAGTATGTGTGAAAGTGGAAATCATTATGTATAATGAAATGTAGATGTTATTGTAATGTGAAAAATACTTTGAAAATAAACAAATAAAAAAAAAAAAAAAATTATCAGAAGACTAAAAGAGAAGGGCCATGCTAGTGTTTTGTAGACCACATTTCCCTGTCGCTATTCAGAATGGTTTCAGTAGTCCCAATATGTCCGATTTAGCTGGGATGAAAAAAGATTGAATTGACAAGACTTATATTAACAAGGACTAGAATACATTAATATTGGCCAGCTGGGAAGGGGAGTAAAGCAAGGAGGCAAAACAACAGATAATAACTTGTGATTGGTCTAATATTTGTATAAAATGTGTATGAAGTCACATTGACAGCTTCACCCCGAACCTGAACTCCGCCCCATTACATAATTTTCTCAAAATAGCCCACGATAAGTTCTACCAATATATACACTGCTTTTTACATTTCCAGTTCTTAGCTCAGAGCGAACAGTACCTGCCCGAGCCTTGACACTGATACGCCGGAGCCTCTTCCTGTACACCATCAGGGCAAAGGCAGAAACCATACTGAAAAAGACAAACATAAGGACATCAATACAGCAACCCTAACAAACCTGATGTAGACTGTCAAACAGCAAGATCATAATGTTAAAGTTAACTGATCTTTAAATGTTAAAAATGAGAAAAAAGAATAATGAAATGTCTTAACAGTTTGCAAACATTGCATCAAATAGGAATTTCTAAAATAACTATGGACATCTTACAGGCTTTCTCCCTCTTGAAGCATTTGATAAACATGTCAGGAGTTCCTATTAAACATTTTATGTTGCCCACATGTGGGAAGAAACCTAGACATGATTTCAGTGGTCAATTCTCCTATCATGGCATCATGTAACACAGGCAAGTGTGCTGGCATCATGTAACACAGGCAAGTGTGCTGGCATCTTCCGCTGCCATGTCTTGATTCAAAGCAATTTTAAACTTTGATCAGAAACTGGAATAGCAAATCTCCATGTTTAGCCTCCCCTTTTTAAGGGTTATTGGGAATCCAGGTAATTTCGACAGGAACCACAGTGTCAATACTCACCAGACAAGGAAGAAAGAGGCCACAATGATCTGGAGTGTGGTGGCTACTTCAGGGCTGCGACAACAGGTACCGTCCACATGGTTCATATTGTCGTTACAATACATGTTCATCAACATCTGGGCGTCCTTTCAGGGGGGAAATCAAAAGGTTGTTAGTGTTGTGAGATGAAGAACACAATAATTTTGGTAAAAATATGTTCTTGCCACTATCATGCATTCTGAAATTTATCACCCCATTTTCCCAATTTTTCACCAGAAATTACATATTTTTCCCTTTACTCTTTGTCTTTTCATCCTTAATACCAGATCAAGGGTGGGTTTTGACGAGTTTATGACACATGTACACTTACCAGGTCTAGTGCAGGCTTTGTCATGTGGAGGCCATCCTCAGACCTATCCCTAATCCCCTGGGCAACCAAACGAGACGAACTCCACACCTTCGCCACACTTTCATCATCCCTAAACAAAAGCAGATATCAAATTTGTTGTGTGAACAAAAGATTCCATTGCCATACCAAACTCATTCCCTTATAAGATTTTGATTGTGAAACTACCATATACAACAATATCTCAACAAAACTGCTGCCTTCACTGTGACATCTGTATCTTTTCTAATCCCTCTACAAAGTAGTATTTTCAATGGTGTTTCACGTAAAATATAAAACTCCTGTGTTCCAAGTGGGAGCATTCAGTGCCACAATCATAAAGTTACAATTGAAAGCTCTTCTAAACATTGGTTGACTGACAATGACGATCTGGCCATTGACAACTGACATCAACTCACAAAACATTCCACAGGTTTGCCATGAAGGTTCTTTAAATTTGAGATATACATACAATATATCCCTGTACCATACTTTCCTGCTCTTTCCAAATACGGCCTTAGTTTATGTATATATTATCAAGAAGTGAGCACTTGCATAAACTTAAAGATGTCATATTCTATTCAAATTGCCAGGTGACGGTGGTAGAACAAGAAGTCAATTGCTGTGTAGGCAACGACTATATAGAAATTCTACTTCTGATGTAAAATTTGAATCAGAACCTTTACATAGCCTTAGTTTTTATCAAAATTCTACACTTTGAGGATAATTTCCAACCTCCCCATATGTATATATGATAGACTTTTAATCATTTACCATTGCCGTTCGGAGGGACTAAAACCTCAAACGAATACAGGTGTACTCACAGATGGTCAAGTGCTACCCTGTTGTACATATCTATCTGCTGGTTGGTTATGGAGCTTCTGTTGCCGTAGAGTTTCGACTCGTCAACAGGGTCTGAAATACAGAAACGTTCTAATGCATTTCTGAAGATTTTGTTTTTAATCCAACAACTTTATTATTTTGTCCAACTTCACTGACAAACTTTTAGCCTGAAATTGAATGTCGAGAAGCTATCTATAAGGGACTGGCCCAGACGTACAATATCTTACATTTAAATATCAAAATAAAATGGATTTGACAATTCTGATCCCATATAAACTTAGAGTCCAGTCTAGAACATAATTTTGTAATTACACATGATTAAAAATATTATCTCACTCATAAGCAGCTAAACAATATATTTTCACAGCAAAGAGTAGTCTCACTAAGTTCTGAAAAAGGTTGTTGACCTGAAAAAATTAGCCGGTTGGATGTTCACATGTTATAACATTAAACCTATCTGTATTCTGAAAAAATGACTGTTTCAAACTTGATGAATAGCTGGCTACTTTTAACACCGGCAAAAACGTTCACTCACAGACAAATTATAAATAAAATACCCTGTAACATCCAGATGATGTTGGTCTTGCCTTCTCCTGCCTGCTTCATCTTCTTCATCAGTGGGATGACCATCGTCAGATTCACTACAATAAAACATAACACAAATCATCTAAGGTTGTGGTAGCTAGCAGCTGTGTTGCAATAAGGATCCCTATCCGACTGCATTGTTGTTTTTCATATTAACAGTAGTCTCCCCTTCCTTTCGTTTTTAACCCATTCACCCCTGAAGACACATTTGAACTCTTCAAATTCAAAGGTTAGAATAGTTCATTATGAAATTTCAGGGGTGAATGAGTTAAATAACTGCAGCAAATCTCCCAATGCAATCGCAACACTACTCAACATGTGACTGTCTTGAAATAAAAACGATAGGGTTGATACATCATTTAGAACCTACCATCAAATACCGATATAAAGTTTATGGCAGAAAATGCAAAATATTTACACAAATGTACCCAATACCTGGGTTTTTTCTTTAAGAAATAGTTATGTACAATGATCAATATTGATAGCTTTGTAAAAACCTGGGTTTTTTCTTTAAGAAATATTTATGCACAATGATCAATATTGATAGCTTTGTAAATACCTGGGTTTTTTCTTTAAGAAATATTTATGTACAATGATCAATATTGATAGCTTTGTAAATACCTGGTTTTTCTTTAAGAAATAGTTATGTACAATGATCGATATTGATAGCTTTGTAAATACCTGGGGTTTTTCTTTAAGAAATGTTCATGTACAATGATCAATATTGATAGCTTTGTAAATCCCTGGGGGTTTTCTTTAAGAAATGTCTATGTACAATGATCAATATTGATAGCTTTGTAAATCCCTTGGGTTTTTCTTTAAGAAATGTTTACGACAATGATCAATATTGATAGCTTTGTAAATACCTGGGGTTTTTCTTTAAGAAATGTTTATGTACAATGATCAATATTGATAGCTTTGTAAATACCTGGGGTTTTTCTTTAAGAAATGTTTATGTACAATGATCAATATTGATAGCTTTGTAAATACCTGGGGTTTTTCTTTAAGAAATGTTTATGTACAATGATCAATATTGATAGCTTTGTAAATACCTGGGGTTTTTCTTTAAGAAATGTTTATGTACAATGATCAATATTGATAGCTTTGTAAATACCTGGGGTTTTTCTTTAAGAAATGTTTATGTACAATGATCAATATTGATAGCTTTGTAAATACCTGGGGTTTTTCTTTAAGAAATGTTTATGTACAATGATCAATATTGATAGCTTTGTAAATACCTGGGGTTTTTCTTTAAGAAATGTTTATGTACAATGATCAATATTGATAGCTTTGTAAATACCTGGGGTTTTTCTTTAAGAAATGTTTATGTACAATGATCAATATTGATAGCTTTGTAAATACCTGGGGTTTTTCTTTAAGAAATGTTTATGTACAATGATCAATATTGATAGCTTTGTAAATACCTGGGGTTTTTCTTTAAGAAATGTTTATGTACAATGATCAATATTGATAGCTTTGTAAATACCTGGGGTTTTTCTTTAAGAAATGTTTATGTACAATGATCAATATTGATAGCTTTGTAAATACCTGGGGTTTTTCTTTAAGAAATGTTTATGTACAATGATCAATATTGATAGCTTTGTAAATACCTGGGGTTTTTCTTTAAGAAATGTTTATGTACAATGATCAATATTGATAGCTTTGTAAATACCTGGGGTTTTTCTTTAAGAAATGTTTATGTACAATGATCAATATTGATAGCTTTGTAAATACCTGGGGTTTTTCTTTAAGAAATGTTTATGTACAATGATCAATATTGATAGCTTTGTAAATACCTGGGGTTTTTCTTTAAGAAATGTTTATGTACAATGATCAATATTGATAGCTTTGTAAATACCTGGGGTTTTTCTTTAAGAAATGTTTATGTACAATGATCAATATTGATAGCTTTGTAAATACCTGGGGTTTTTCTTTAAGAAATGTTTATGTACAATGATCAATATTGATAGCTTTGTAAATACCTGGGGTTTTTCTTTAAGAAATGTTTATGTACAATGATCAATATTGATAGCTTTGTAAATACCTGGGGTTTTTCTTTAAGAAATGTTTATGTACAATGATCAATATTGATAGCTTTGTAAATACCTGGGGTTTTTCTTTAAGAAATGTTTATGTACAATGATCAATATTGATAGCTTTGTAAATACCTGGGGTTTTTCTTTAAGAAATGTTTATGTACAATGATCAATATTGATAGCTTTGTAAATACCTGGGGTTTTTCTTTAAGAAATGTTTATGTACAATGATCAATATTGATAGCTTTGTAAATACCTGGGGTTTTTCTTTAAGAAATGTTTATGTACAATGATCAATATTGATAGCTTTGTAAATACCTGGGGTTTTTCTTTAAGAAATGTTTATGTACAATGATCAATATTGATAGCTTTGTAAATACCTGGGGTTTTTCTTTAAGAAATGTTTATGTACAATGATCAATATTGATAGCTTTGTAAATACCTGGGGTTTTTCTTTAAGAAATGTTTATGTACAATGATCAATATTGATAGCTTTGTAAATACCTGGGGTTTTTCTTTAAGAAATGTTTATGTACAATGATCAATATTGATAGCTTTGTAAATACCTGGGGTTTTTCTTTAAGAAATGTTTATGTACAATGATCAATATTGATAGCTTTGTAAATACCTGGGGTTTTTCTTTAAGAAATGTTTATGTACAATGATCAATATTGATAGCTTTGTAAATACCTGGGGTTTTTCTTTAAGAAATGTTTATGTACAATGATCAATATTGATAGCTTTGTAAATACCTGGGGTTTTTCTTTAAGAAATGTTTATGTACAATGATCAATATTGATAGCTTTGTAAATACCTGGGGTTTTTCTTTAAGAAATGTCCATGTACAATGATCAATATTGATAGCTTTGTAAATACCTGGGGTTTTTCTTTAAGAAATGTCCATGTACAATGATCAATATTGATAGCTTTGTAAATACCTGGGGGTTTTCTTTAAGAAATGTTTATGTACAATGATCAATATTGATAGCTTTGTAAATACCTGCAAAGTTGTTCTTGGCATCCTCACTTCCATTGAACTGTTTGATACACCACTGTAAACGATACACAGTACAAATATTGTAAATGGCAAAATTTTTATTCTGATTTTTTTGTAACCCGGTGATGTGCTATTAAAACTTCAGGTTCACTAGATCAGTATGAAGATATGAATTTGCAAACATACTGACACAATATGAAATGCATGTTACAGCAGAATTGTTATTATAAACTTGAAAGCTGCCAAAAGGAGTTCCGAAGTGCTAGAGTGAGAAATATGCAGATTTGGGATAGTGGATGTTATGACGGATCACATGGTACCACAGACAGGAAGCCATGTTGATCATCATTTCACTAACTTGTCCTCAGGCATATATTAATATTACACTATGTATATTTATGAAAAAATTACAAAATGTTAAGCAAATGATTTCAAAATTGTCTTCAAAATAAGCCCCCTCCCCACTTTGGTAAATGTCCTGGGAACAGGGTGGCTGCCTGCAATTAAGCCCCCTCCCTAATTTTGTCTCCCATCTCAAAAACAAATGTGTTTCAATTTTTGTCTCTGACATAAGCAAATTAGCTAAATGGATGCAAAACAACATAAACCCAAGTTTAAATACTACAAATAACTTTGTTTCTGAATAAGGCACAATAATAAATAGCATGTAGTGATACATACTCTTTACTGAGTACTGTGATTCTTTTTTGATTTTTTTTTAAAGAATTATGTATTCATGAGTGAATTAAAGATGAACATTATTATAACACATGATAAATGGAATATGATGTAAACATAACAAAATATCTATGCTAGATGTCTAGATGTCTTAACTTAAAACAAAACATCATTTCTCTGACTTGTCTTCAGGCATATATTACACTAAGCATAATATTACAATATGTAAAGAAATTTATGTGACTTGAATTTTTTTTATATTTCTACTTTGGCTGCTTGATCCATTTTGTATTTGTCGGGCTAGCAGAATTTTATTTCAGGCTATAGTGGATTATTAGTGTCTACTAGCTGCACTGGGTTAGCATACTGAAAAACATTTTTACACCCCTGGTATGATAGGCATGAATAAATATTTATGAAAAAAATACAAAATTTTAAGCAAATGATTTCAAAATTGTCTTAGATTTCTGTTTTTGCTGCAAAAATGCACCAAAAGGTATGGGCTCTTCCTCTCATGGGGAGAAAAGAGGAATACAGCTAGGGGTGTATATAATGTCCAGTGGCTGACTATACTGACCGTGCCACTGCCAGTGATGACCAGGTTGGGTCGGTCCTTCATGTCCTGCATCATCCAGTTCTTATACACTACGTACATGGAGATGTTCACCATCGGGTGCCACAGGAAATCCTACAGTAAATGTACAGGTGATTTATTATAGATCCTACAGTTCTTAAACACTAAGTACTTAGAGATATTCACCATTGGGTGCCACAGGAAATCCTACAGTAAATGTACATGTGATTTATTATAGATAACCCAGTTCTTATACACTGCATACTTGGAGATGTTCACCATCGGGTGCCACAGGAAATTCTACAGTAAATGTACATGTGATTTATTATAGATAACCCAGTCCTTATACACTACGTACATGGAGATGTTCACCATCGGGTTCCACAGGAAATCCTACAGTAAATGTACAGGTGATTTATTATAGATCCTACAGTTCTTAAACACTAAGTACTTAGAGCTATTCACCATTGGGTGCCACAGGAAATCCTACAGTAAATGCACATGTGATTTATTATAGATCATACAGTTCTTATACATTACATACATGGAGATGTTCACCCTCGGGTGCCACAGGAAATCCTACAGTAAATGTAAATGTGATTTATTATAGATAACCCAGTTCTTATACACTACGTACATGGAGATGTTCACCATCGGGTTCCACAGGAAATCCTACAGTAAATGTACAGGTGATTTATTATAGATCCTACAGTTCTTAAACACTAAGTCCTTAGAGATATTCACCATTGGGTGCCACAGGAAATCCTACGGTAAATGTACATGTGATTTATTATAGATCATACAGTTCTTATACATTACATACATGGAGATGTTCACCCTCGGGTGCCACAGGAAATCCTACAGTAAATGTACATGTGATCACCATTGGGTGCCACAGGAAATCCTACAGTAAATGCACATGTGATTTATTATAGATCATACAGTTCTTATACATTACATACATGGAGATGTTCACCCTCGGGTGCCACAGGAAATCCTACAGTAAATGTACATGTGATCACCATTGGGTGCCACAGGAAATCCTACAGTAAATGTACATGTGATTTATTATAGATCCTCCAGTTCTGATACACTACGTACACGGAGATGTTCACCATCGGGTGCCACAGGAGATCCTACAGTAAATGTACATGTGATTTATTATAGATCCTCCAGTTCTGATACACTACGTACACGGAGATGTTCACCATCGGGTGCCACAGGAGATCCTACAGTAAATGTACATGTGATTTATTATAGATCATCCAGCTCTTATACACTGCGTACTTGGAGATGTTTACCATCGGGTGCCACAGGAAATCCTACAGTAAATGTACATGTGATTTATTATAGATCCTCCAGTTAAGTATGTTTACTGACAACACACATATTGCAAACTTATTCTGACAGAAGCCATTCTCTGTGATACATCTACATGAGTCCCAAGTCATCTTTCAATATGATAGTAGTATCAAGTTTTGGCTAGTCCATCAGGCTAGTGGATTTTAGAACTTTAGTCCTGCTGCAGATTTCACTAGTCTCAGACTATCAGACTACCCTTATTTTCTAGCCCTAAAGTCTTATGCATATACTCGTAGAATTTTGAATTTGATGGGAATCATGGTATTTTTGGAAATACGGAAATTTAGCATGGTGAGAGCCGTACATTTTATATAATACAATGGAAAAGGACTTGAACTTATTGTAGATTGATCAATATAAACTAACATAAAGTCCATGAAATATCTTACTCTCTGAGAATTTGCAAATGTTCCGAAAACAAATAAACCTGTACATAATCAAATACCAATATTTGTTTAACTTAGTTTAACTTAGTTAATTTATATACATTAAAATGTCAATCATATTACATACATGACACAGTTGCATAACATGTATTTTCAATGTAATGTGTATATCACCAGCTGACAAATTTGGTCTCATTCTGACAGACTAAACACCAGTATAACTATATGGCTTCAACGGTTTCAAAGAAAATGAAAAACTAGGGCTCAAAAATATGAATCTAATAGAGTAATAATTGCTACTAGTCTATCACTGGCAACTTTGATTGTATTTATTTTTTGCAGATTATTTTTTAATAATCAAATGAATACTGTCTAGAAAATTCAAGTCATTTACAAATATGCAGTATAAATTGTAAATTCCCAAATGCAAATATGTAGAAATGTAATTACCTTAAAACACATCAAAATTTAACCGAAATAAGTTCTTAGCTAATTTGATCAAACAACAGTATATGCTATGTGTTCACTGTGATTAAGTCATCTATTATTCTTGCAAATGAAATTTTCTTATTTACTTGCAATATATCATGTAAATTTTGAAGTTTCTACTTTGAAGCTGAGAAACATGTGATGGTCGAGATAAAATCAAGCACATATTCCAACAATCCAGCTCTAGGGAGAGATTTATCTCATGAACGTTTCCATTGTCAAACTTACCACAGTGGCGTGTATTTTGTTATCCCGGAAGTGTAGATCGGAGTGTGTCTTGTAGGACTTGACTGGTGTGGGACTCAACAGGTTGATGAATTCAAAGTACAGCTGTCGGATTCGAGAGTCGCCCAGAAACGTTATGTGATTGTGACCTCCCCAGTAGGATATATAATGCATACACATCCTGGCATCTCTGAAATGGAAATATGACGTCATTGAACAAAGTGGTATATCTTCTTTCTTTTTTTTTTATAAAATTCACTCATTTAATTACACAGAGAGAGATGTTATTATAATGCCTCCTTGTTCCAAATGCCACTTAATTACCACAAATATATTTTAAGATGATTTTTTATTTTTTTTATTTTTATATATTTTCTTCAACCCCTGTATAAAATATAATGCCAAAATTTTGGTGAGAAATAGCAGAAGTTTTTAGCATACACATTTAATCTTAATAATCATATTGTACAAACTGACATCTCAGGCATTTTCCTACTTACATAAATTAACCACACAAGCTATGAACCATAAAATTGGCATCAAATTTAGTAGGTACTAGGTATCTGTTTAGTTATCTAGGGACTTTTACATCCATTTCAAAATTTGTAAAGTTAGCTGGCAGAAAACAAAACTTTAGTTCCAAAAGTTATTATCAGGTTAAGAAATTGTGCTGACATAGTTGCATAGTTATAAGATACTCATTCGTTCAGAACTGCCGAGATTGCAGTTAATGAATGACATTTTTAATATTGAAAATTGACCCACAAAGAAAAACTAATCAAGCACTCCTGTGTAATATGTGCAATAAAGTAGACATCGACATTTCAACATTTACAGTAAGAATTTTGTATCATCCAAATAATTATTCAAAATAAACAGGGCTCTCCCATACTTGCCAATTTAATGAAATTTCCATGGGGGAGATTCTGCATTCTCAAAATTAAAACATAAGTAAAACGTGTGTATACACCCCCTACAAACAAAATAATTCTTGAAAGTGACATATTTTGTTTTGTTCTCTCAGATGAAATCAATAGATCTTAGAATCAGGGAATTGTTTAGCAAATTCACTGATTGAAAATACAAAATTTTAGGGTCCAAAATTGGAATTCTCCCTCGAGCTCCTAAATAGCCTCCGTTGGCAAGTACACTGTATGCTCTCCAATAAATGTTGATAACACATGGAAAATTACATACAAGGAAAAGTGCATGCATAATTATTTATACTTACAAGTTGTTGTACTTGTGCATCATACAACCGTATGGTTGCCACGTATTGTATCCGGGGAAGCGGCCATCGCTCAGCAACCACTTACAGGAGTCGTTACCTATAAACACACAGCAAAGTCGTTTTTATTTATTATTAATATGAAGTATTTATTGAAATTTCTTTGTGGTTTGAACCAGGTATACCCCTGGCTTTGAGGCAATCAAACTTTGGAGTAAAATATTGCACTAATAGTTTTGTATAGCCATTAATAGCCACTGGTAACAAATTTAAAATGAATTACAGTAAAAATTCAGATTGGTCAAGTTATATTCAACAAATTTCAGTTACATTATACCCAAGTCTGAGGAAATTCAGAATTTTCTAGTCACCAGTGATTGTTAAGCAGTAAAGAAATACTCCATGAATTATTTTGCATGTTTCACAGCCAAACACAGGCTGCTTTCCTTAGGCAGAACATTAAAAAAAAAAAAAAAAAAAAAAGGTTATATCTTCCATATACTTTTAGGACTCGCACATTAATCTGGTTGTCATCCTTACCTAAAATGTGTTCCTGTTCAGTACAGTGCGTCCGAGTAATTTAATTGTGTAAATATTGACCTTTTATTTATTGATGAAATTTACAGATACTTAACTCTGGAAAATTTGTACAGTTTTAGCTGATTTTAATATGTGATGGCAGATTATGGGGTTGAAAGTCAGGGGGTGCTCCGCGATCCAGACCAAATAACCTGCCAAACAATGCCTATTGAAGCTTTTGTCGGGTACAATGGTATATATGGGCGGATAATGGTCGAGTTGCGGTATCTGTGCAGCATTCAAGTGAGGTGGCACTATAATTGATACTGTATGCGTTGCAAGCATGGTCCCACTACAAACAGAACACATTACATCTCCGGCACACACATATACACATAAAGGGAGATATAAGCCAGGTGGCATAGGAGTAGTAGTAAGCGCCTGATAAGGCGCAGCTCCTGCGAATTCCTCGAAATTGTAATGATTAATGTATATGCTAGTTGTATAAATTGTATATCTATGTACTGTAAAGCACTATAGAGTGGCTTAATCTAGCTAGATAGGGCGCTATATCAAATGTTGTATACTATTATTATTCGTCTATGAATCTAGACAGTTGCCAGTAGCCTTGAACTTCAAATCTCAACACTCATATTAGCTCAAAGCTTAGTAATAAAATAAATAGTAAATAATCGGTTGTAAAAGCCTTCCATAGGCTTATGTTGCCTTGTTCAACCATGTACCGACTTTTAAATAACATTTACTTGAACTTGATTACTTGTGAGCCTTTTTATAACAAGAGGCTATGACTGTCACCTGACCTCATTTAAAGGTATATATAACATCAATGTATTTAACTGATCAAAGACAACTTTGAAAGTCTTTGTTCCTTCTGTCCCAGCTACCTAATGGTCATATTATGTATCATCAACCTAGCTCGGCTGTCAGGAACTTGAGAAGCCATTAAAATTGTTTAACGTAATTAAATTAAACCAGGTGGCTTTTAATTTAAGCAGTGTTCAAACTTAACGGTAGACCCATAGACAATCCCTATGAAAATCACTTAGTCTACAATGAATAATGGAATAATTTATTTCATAGACCAAATGCAATATAGGTCTAATAAAGTAGTTGAAGTTATTGCCTACGATGTGTGTTATTCAATAAGTATAAATAAAAATAAAATAAATAAATATACAACATTTGATATAGCACCCTATCTAGCTAACATAATCCACTCTAAAGCGCTTAACAGTACATACATATACAATTTTATACAGTCAATACAATTAGCATATATATATTAATCAATACAATATTGAGGAATTCGCAGGAGCTGCCTTATCAGGCGCTTATTACTAGTCCTAAGCCACCTGGCTAATATCTCCTATGTGTGTATGCCTGTGTGTGTGCTGGAGATGTATTGTGTTCTGTTTGTAGTGGGACCGTGCTTCCAACGGTATCATTTATAGTGCCACCTCACTTGAATGCTACAGCACACATACCGCAACACCCACCCCAGACCATTTTATACTCCACCTGGGTTGTTGGAGTTGTGTGGGCAGGAGAAAAACCCTTTCTCTAATATTCCATGCGTATGGCGACTTCGGGGATCGAACCCTGGCCGCCTGCTTGGAAGGCCGGAGTGTTAACCACTCGACCAATCCGCCCACAAAGTATAGTAGTGAGGAAAACAGTAGTCTGTTTACTTATCCTTTTCCTTTATGATTATACAATTTTTATTAATTTGATGTTATCAACCACGTGCATTCACCCCTACATATTTAAACTGGACTTGCCCTGTCTTTGATTTGGGAAGGTTCAAATGTGACTTTAGGGGTGAATTGGTTAATTATCAAGTGTAATTTTCTATCTAGAACATCTTTAATTCATGGATCTATTGTCTATGATACATTTGTAAATTCTAAATCTGATAAAGGTCAATTAAAGTCATGCCTTTTAACAACATGATAGCCCTTATCACAACTATCTACTGCAAGACCTGATCAGTTGAACCTTGACATTAACCCTTTCACCACTGTAGACCATAATGGACTCATCCATATCAATGCATGGTAGAGTCTACTCAAGTTACATAGGGGTGAAAGGGTTAAGCAATTTCAGGAGTCAAATAGAATTCACTGATTTTTTGAGTCAAGACATGTGTCAAATACTATACTCCTGTCCTGTAAAAACTTAACTCATTCACCCCTGGAATTTCATAATGAACTAATCCAACTTTTGAATTGGAAGAGTTCAAACACATTTTCAGTAGTATATGATTTGATTCAAAGCTCATTTGGAGAAATCAAAAACACTCTCAAAGGTAGATCATGACCTAAGGTGGTTTAAATTTGGAACTTGAGAAGAAGTCATTTAAAGGTTTTACATATTTGAATGTGACATTGAGTGAAGGTCATGGTCATTATTGGAGCAAATATTAAAGTCCTTTATCCAAGTTTTATACCTGGCAAAATATCATGACCCTAGCAATGATTTTGCAAGGTGATTTTGGGGTTATTGTATACAACTCTTCTGGCTTCTCCTGGAATTTCTGCTGCATTTTCCTAAAATTACCTTAATGCAAAAATCGAATCTATTTTCCCGAAATATCAAAAAAAAAAAATGTGTGTGTGATATTTTCCCAAAGTATCAAGCCTCATTTCCCTGTGTTATTGGTAAATAAAAATAGATCCCAGATGCATTATAATTTGGGCCTGTCATTATAATTATAAGATCTTCAATAACTGGTCCTACGTTTATACATACGTACGTTTGATCTTAATGGTCTCTTTTATTTTCTTATCCGTTGGATGGAGTCATGATCATTTCAATGCATCTGCAATAACTTATGAACAACACCTTTAATTTTTTAATATGTACACAATATTGTGTTTTATCACATACCTGTTTAATCTTGTTACAGTAATACAAGCAATTTTCAGACCATGAAATACAACGGTCTGTATTGCACATGTGCAATACGGAATTTGTATTTACCTACTAGCCGGAACTACTTTTTATGGGAATCCCCTTGTGATGGCGAACTGAAAAGTTCCCGGTATTTGACAAATTCTGAAAGTTTCTGTACGACATAGTTTCAGTACTAAAGAAGTTAATAGGACAATTTGTTACTTAATTAATTGTAAGGACAAAAAAAAGCTGAATTTTATCACCATTACTGTATTACAAAACACAAACAAAGCTCCGGGTTGAAATGTTAATCCAAGTGCTCTTTATTTATGTAAGGAAAGATACAAGTACCCAAACATCTAGGTGCCGAAATGACCTAAGGTGACAGTACCCAACTCAGATCACCAAACCATCAATTTATTCATTCATTGAAAATTCTGAGGAGGAATTATATTTATTTGTTGTTGTATCAAAGGAAGAATATTGATTGATGTTGTTACCAACAAAATTGGCACCCAGGGCTCACTTCAGATATTTATAGAACGCTCTGAAGCTTAAGTCACCAATCAGCGTTTCCTATTTTTGCGAATGTCAGGACCCGAATCGGATCAAGGTTTGAATTTAATTTTCAGTATTTTACACTTCAAATACATTTTTTTGGTCAGCATATTAACATTTGATGATGACCTTTAGTATTAATATGAAAACAAGCATTTCTATAGGGTGAATATATTCCTTTAGATTTCTAGTCCAAAACAGAATGCATTGTCGCACTTTTTTTTTTAAATATAAACAAAACACCGACTTTTGAGTTTAAATTACGTTTTCTGGTGCTATTTCAACTAAACTAATCATCTGTTGACAAAAAATAGTACATGACTATATATTCGAAATCTACATCATTGTTACAACTTATTTGTTGACACATTTAATGATTTAAAAGTATTTTTGCAAACAGGGATCCGATTTGGGTACTGATCCGGGTCCTGCCTCCTTACTTAGTTACTACCGGATTTACGTCTGTACCCGTGTACACGTATGCTATTAAAAGACAAACATGAGGCAAGGTAAACCGCTGTACATTAACCGTTATTCATCAGAATTCAGAGAGATGTCCAGAAACGACATTTGACATGACCTGAAACGATAGGAAAATGTCCCGAAACGACTTTCGTCTTGTTGCCGAAACGACCTGACACCTCCTGGACGACAACTGTCAGACACGAACCCGTTTCCGGGAATGATCAATCTGTTTGCAAATCACGTAGATGATTTTTTTTTTTACCAAGCAATTCATCATTGTGCAATAGTTGGCATTTGTGCATTTGTAAATTTGTGGTATTGACAACGCTGAAGCAGAACTAGAAGCACATGTCTTCACCGTAGAAATTAACAAACACAAACATTCTATATTTACACTTGTCCGTCATATTCTGTCAGACGACTGAGTCAGAAACATTACAAAAATGGACATTTTCGACAGAAATAAACTTACCATATTTCATGTGTATAACACTATGATACATAACGAATCCCATGACCATTGTAAACGCAAGAATTTTTGCATTCTCGATGTTCAAATAATAAGTTATTTCAGGCGTCGTCGAACTACTGCGGTTGTCCGCCATGCTCGTTTCTACGCCGAATGGCAGCGTCACTGAAACGTTTGTAGTGCTTGTGTAGTGTCCTTCAAGCGTATCCGAGACGATTATACTTTTGTGAGGTTCTCCAAGGGCAAATACGTTAGATATAGGTTGGCATTCGAAGAATTACGACGCCTCCATGAAAATCCGCAAGATTTATTAATCAAAATAATGTAACATCTATATTTTAGAAAGAACTGACGTTACTTTTGACGTATTTTAAAAACCGAATTAGAAATGCATATGTGCTGCATAAACCCAACTTCATGACAAAATCTTCAATTAGTTCAGTGAAGGTGGTCTCAATATGGTAGAACTAGAATTACATGTAGGCCGCCTTACGATATATTTGCTTTCACTGAAACGTGAAATGAAAATGAACGCAGTGTAACTATGAAGTATGCGCAGAAATAGTTTAAATAGATAAATTTAAACTATTTCTGCGCATACTTTATAGTTACACTGCGTTTCTCTTGATTTTTTTTTTTAGTTTTATAATTAGTGCATAGTAGATCCATGGCCCAACTTAATTCCGTGCCTGGAACCAATGAATTTAGATAAAGGAGCCTATAACTGTATGGTGACTGATTGAGGACATCTAAATAATTATATAACGAGCTAATTAGTGTCTCGTTATAATGACTTACTTATTTTAAAGGTATCTAGCCGTAAAAAAAAATAAGTTCCCTACTAGTTTTGTGGATCCCCTATAACATTTACCACGGACTTAGATAACTCTAATCTAATTCCGTGCATTAACAAAGAACATTTTAAAATGGATTGTAATAGATAGCCAACATGTGTACATATTACAGACTGACATACATCAATAGATATGAAATGTCCTGACAGCTGGTACATAATGTCGTAACGTGCCGCAGGCTTGTGGATTCAATCACGGGCCAGAGAATCAATTATATATATTTTATATATATAAGGACGTACATGTATAGGTAAGATGTTAGAGATTTAGATCAATACGTGGTAATCCATAACCACCCCAACTCCGGGATCCCCAACACCTGCCTCCAACAAACAAAAAACGAATTATACAAAAATCAAGCAGTCATTTTTTGTCAATCTAGTGTTAATCTATACCATATAAACACGTCATCTAGGATATATGCTGAAACGTACATCATATCGTGAACGTTCAAATACATGTGTCATTGTGAGCAAAACATTGTATAATGCACAACTACAGGTATATTTATTGGCCATCAATGTACATGCATATATACATGTGTCTTTAAGTCCCTACTTCTGTTGGATATATGATTTTACGAAACTTGAATGCAATCCTTCACAAGTCTGAGTTCCGCACAGAACGGATCGATTATTTGCAAGTGATCAGAGTGTCCAATTTATATGACGCTGCTTAAATACATTTTTAGCATAAAGGCTCCAAAACGTCGATCGAAATTCGGCGGGGATTACAGGAGAGGATTGCGTCCTCACATGGCCAGTGATAATGGACATTACGACGTACGGGGATCCCCCCAATATGTCTCAATTATGGCAAGCCAAGTTGTCATTTATGCATGGAGCAATGTTGATCCAGTACTTAACCAAATTATATAAGATATCTTATTTAATTATATTAGATATCTTATATACTTTATGAGATATCTTATATACTTTATAAGATATCTTATATAATAAATGAGATATCTTATATACCTTTCTTTATAAGATATCTCATAAAAGATATAAGATATCTTATATATTATATAAGATATCTCATAAAAGATATAAGATATCTTATAAAGAAAATTAAATGAGATATCTTATATCTTTTAGAAGATATCTTATATAATATATAAGATATCTTATAAACAAAATTAAATGAGATATCTTATATAATTCGGTTATAAGATATCTTATAAAGAACGAGATTTGAATTTGAGATAATAAACCCTCCTCCACAGCGCTCGGTAAAGCATTAAATCGAAAGCCTTAGTTTCGTACGTATCTCTTAACCGGAAATGAAGTATGTGAAAGTGAAAGTAGGAGTTTAATGCCACCAAATAGGTCTGGTTATAGCGGTATTAACATTATTTTAAAAGGTTAAGCTTTATAAAGTAGATGGGGGGTAAGTGGTGGAGAAATGGATGTTCCTATGTATTTCATAACTGAAGGAAAACGATCCTACTGCATGTATTACTTACAATTTATTCATTAAAATGTTTTATCTTGATTTTCTTCACGGATTTCCTCTAAATGTTTTTAAAGAAATTTGATAAAATTGTAATATTACCCGTACAAATTCACAGACAGGTAATTGACATTAAACATATTAGGAACATTTATTAATTGTTTCGGCTGCTTATCACAGACCGCATTAAAGCCATTTTGGTCTCTGTGGAGTATAACATATAGATAGACATGGGGACATTTTTTTTTATTTACTGTTTCAGACTGGTCATACACCTGTATTTATTATCACAGACAGGCTATGTATCTTTAATTATATTGTTTCAGATAAAATTGTTTTAACTATCACAGACATTAAAGAACATACTTATGTATTTGTAATTCTATGTTCTATCAATATACTGTAATGTAAGGAACATTAATTCATTGTTTCAAACTGGTTATAAACTTGTATTTACTTATACTATTACAGACAAGAAGTAATATTTCATTATTTGATACATATGTATACAGATAAGTGATATTTCATCATCAGGTGCATGTTCTTTAAAGTCTTTGAGATATTGATCACTTATAAGATATATTTTGTAGAGATACAATTGTATTTTGTGACCTAAAAGGCATTTCACACAAGCCAGATACATGGTAACACTTACAGCATGTCTGTAGTAGTAATTACATGTGTAATACCTGTCTGTGATAGTATATACATGTGTAATACCTGTCTGTGATAATATATGCATGTGTAATAACTGTCTATAGTAGTAATTACATGTGTATTACCTGTCTGTGATAGTATATACATGTGTAATACCTGTCTGTGATAGTAAATGCATGTGTATGATCTGTCTGTGGTAGTAAATACATGTGCAATACCTGTCTGTGATAGTATATTCATGTGTAATACATGTATGTAGTAGTACATGTTTAATACCTGTCTGTAGTAGTATTTATGTGTAATACCTATCTGTGATAGTATATGCATGTGTAGTACCTGTCTGTAGTTGTAATTACATGTGTAATACCTATCTGTGATAATATATACATGTGTAATACCTGTCTGTAGTAGTAACTACATGTGTAATACCTATCTGTGATAATATATACATGTGTAATACCTGTCAGTAGTAGTAACTACATGTGTTATACCTGGATGTAGTAATATATATATATATAATATATTGCTGAGCATCAAAACTTGGATACACTTTTGTTAGAAAGACTTGTCCTAACTCAGTGCCTCTTGTTTATTATAAAACACAACAAAGATATCTTTATAAAGAAATATTGAGAAGGTTATATAATGATTTGTATACAGATTATACAAACTAGTAAACAGGGTAAATAAGAAGTGGTTTACAGAGTATATAAAGAATGGTATATAGAGAGTGGTATACAGGGTACATAAAAAGTCCTTATTTATTTAGTAAGGGTATCCTCTATAATACAGCCTCATTGCATAAGGTACCTGTATTTATCATCTCTATTATATATAGTGTATTGACTCATTTTCCAGAAGATACAATGTACATGATACAAAGTATATACATGGTATATTTCCGGTAAAGAGGAAAATAAGACATTTCATCTTCAAAAACCTGTAATTGTAGCATATCTCAGGTCTGAAAAAAACAGAGGCAAATCAGTCACTGGGCCAGAGCATTTGGGTGCCAATAGAGGAAGTTTGGGTGTAAAGATAATTAAGATCCCCCACCATGTAACCATCTGAATACATCCATGCTTACATGATTGGCGCCAGGGTCCTGCCCTGCCACAAGGGGCTTATAGTCCCCAAATTTTACATGAAATCAGTAAAGATCCCATCCAAATGCTGCTGGGCATGCAGAGGAAAAACACTCATGATACCAAGATAGTCCCTAATGGAGCCCACCCCATCCCTGAGGACTTACTCCTTCAGTCATAACATGGAAATTGTTGAGATCCCCAAGCTGATATTTCCTGTATGGTAAGAGGTAATCAACAACTTTTAATGAAAAATATTATTCCAGGTGAGCTATTAATAATGTGCCTGTGCTTCTTGTTCTTGAGAGGCCACAATAAGGGAACATAAATGGGAAACTCCAGCACAAGCAAACATGTTATATTTCCTGTGCATGCAATCAATATGAACCAATATCAGACAACTATTATAAAGATGAGGTACCTTACCTACAGAGAATATGGACCTTACATATACCTCATGTATATGTGCATGCATACAAGATGTACTTGATGTATAGGTGTAATCTGATGTATAGAAGGTATATATATACCTGATGCATGGAAGGTGTATATATATACCTGACCTATAGGAGGTGTATACCTGATGTATAGAAGGTATATATACCTGATGCATGGAAGGTGTATACCTGACCTATAGGAGGTGTATACATGATGTATAGAAGGTATATATACCTGATGCATGGAAGGTGTATACCTGACCTATAGGAGGTGTATACATGATGTATAGAAGGTATATACCTGATGTTTAGAAGGTGTATATCTGATGTATATGAGGTGTATATCTTAAGGTTTTTTTTTTCAATTGTCGCCCTTTTACTCTTGGGGAGGGGATACATTTACATGATGTGATCATGTGGACGCTAAGGGCCTGAGGGGCGGAGCCAAAAGGGGCCAAAATAGCTCAAACAATAATTGTCTACTTCCAGATCCAGATATGTTAAAAAACCTTCTCATGGATGGAAATATCCTGATGTGCTTAATCAAAATGTGAATTTCACAACCCCTTGGGTACTAATTCCTCCCTGGTGAGGGGCAAAATTCCCTGCTATACATATATATATATGTAATTTTTATTTTTGACATATCACAACAACAAAT